TGGGTGGCCTGGTATCCTCCAGGGACGCGATGCCCCACCGCGACGCCCCGTGCCACCCGGGGCTGAGCGCCCGGGGTGGGCATGCCGTGGAGCGGGGTGTCCCCGTGGTCCGAGGCAGGTCCTCCTCCCCCAGGGGCTGCAGAGCATTGTAGGGGTGCGCGGGGGGGGCTCTGGGCTTACCTTATGTTTGGGACATTTCAGAGAGAAGCTCTCTTCGGTTAATAAGCAACCTGCGAGGAGAGGAGAAGGCCGTGTCAGGGAAGTCCCCGCACTGTGGGACGGCGGTCCCCGAGTGGTGGGGACGCAGCATCCCCCATGGCCTCCCACCGCCATCCACACAAGCTGCACCGTTCGCATGAAGGGTTCAGCCGAGGCCGGCCAAACTCGGGACACCAGCTGGCGCTGCTGGTGCAGGGGGCATCGCCATCCCGTCCGGCAGGGAGCCGTGAGCCCACCCTAGCCTTGGATGGGCTTGAGCATTGCGGAGCAGTCAGGCTGGCCCCGCGGCCAGCCGGGTGGGAGGGTGCCAGGGGTTCCTGTGCTCCTGTCCCCGCGGCCGGGCTCACCTGTGTCAACGGCACACGCGTAGTGGTAGGTGTGGGGACACCCCTTCTGGCAGCAGCCCACGGTGGCTCCCGCTTGCTGGCAGCTCGAGCACTTCTTTAAACACACCCGGGAATTCGGAGCAGGGAAGGAGAGATGTGGAGAGACAGAGAGACCCCCGTCAGAGCCCAGCGCAGGAGCAAAGCACCCCGACGGCCCCGACCACAAGGGGAACGCGCCGGCATCCCTGCGCCTCTCCAGCCCCTTGCTGCCTCCCCCGGGCAGCATCCTTCCTCCCGTGCCGGCGCACCCCGGGCGACGCCGTGCCTCTCGCTCGGCCATCTGCAGCCACGCATGATATTCCTACCCACCGTATCGCTCCCCTGGATGGCACTGAGCTTGCAGCCATCCTCCATGGGGCAGGAGGTGCGGAGGTGAAGGGACATGGCCTAGGCCGTGCCGTGGCTCGGTGGCAGTGGTGCTGGAGGACTGCGGTGTTGCCCATCTCCTGCCCCGTCCCCAGCGGGTGCTGCAGAGATGGGAACACCCGGCCCTGTGGTGTGGGTGGGGAGAAGGCAGCAGCCTCCAGACAGACATGCCGCGAGCACGCACGCCTGGGAATATGGCCAGCCCCAAACCTGGTACCGGGAGGCTTGCTGGAGACCCCCCTCCCGCTCCCCAGCACAAAAACCCCCGTGTCCCCTTGGCAGTCTCCCAGCAGCGTCCTCCCTATTTTGCTCGCTCGATGTGCCTGCGCTCCTCTTGCTCTGGGAGAGGAGCAGGGCAGGGCCGTGCCCTCCCTTCAGCTTCCCTTCCCCTGCTGCCCATCACTGTGGCGTCAGGCCACGTCGCGCCCATTTTTGTCTCCCATCCTGCCTTCACCAGGCTGCGTCTGTCTCGTTCCGAGCCGCCCCCTGCGACGCACAGCAGGGCTGGGGGATGCGACACACCGGGCTCAGCATCCTCATGGTCCTGGGCGGGGGGGCCTGCCGCCCTCCCAAAACATAACAATGTAAATATGCTTCTACGCCTAAAAGGGGAGGGGGGGGGGGGGGTTGGGGGGGGGGGAGCTCGGAGG